ACTAAACTCATCTTTCTGGCTGAGCTCACAGTACCACACCCCCAGCCTTATTCCTAGCCCTAAGCAATGAGCATCACTAGCAACTGGGCCTCTGTGTGCATCTCTGCAATTAATACCAGCAGCAGCAGCCACCACAGAAATGCAAATCCCAGCACTGATCAGAGAGGACAGAGACACCAGCACAATCAGACTCTGCCCCAGCTTCATAATCTGCAATACATGGCACAAGAAGTTCAGAGCCTGCAGGGATTCAGCATTTCCATCCATTATAGATTATACCGTTGGCCGGGGGGGGGCGGGGGGAACATAAAAACTAGGACCCACACTTTAAAAGTGCTTCTTTCCACCGCAGCCAGAAGAAAATCCCACAGCATGTGTCACACCTTTTGTGTCTTATTCCCCAAAGACACGCATGGAAATGGAAGACAGTGAGAGAGGAGGCCACACCTTACAGGAAAGAGAGGTTCAGGAGCCCAGAAAGGTTTGCCTGTATTCAGCGTTTCTGCCATTTCCACCCAAAAGTGAGCAGGCCTGGAGGATGGTTAAAGGCAGCGACAATCTGATTCCCCTCGTCAGGCCACAGCTTCAAGTCCGTCTCGTTCCTATCCCTCACAGGAGGCAATTTACCACCGTTTTATGCCAAGCCTCCTATTAATGGGGAAAGGACAGAAAACGCGATCGCATGTGTTGTTTGCCAGGGAGGAAGGGCGGGGGCGGGGGGCAGCCAGGAGGTTCAACAGAGGCTAGCGAGCCCGGTGTCCAAACATGGCATCTGCCAGCACCCTCAATCCTCCCGGCTGCCCCCATCATTGCAGGCGCCTCTCCCTGGACCCCTCCAACGCGCCCGCCTGCCTTCCGCCCTGTCATGGGGAGTGGGGGGGGGGGCTCATTGCATTCTCTTCTCATGATCAACACCTTGCGCTCCCCACAGCCAGCCGCCGGCCAAGCCCAGCCTTCCCCAGCCCTGGCAAAAGCTGGCAGGGGTCCCCCAGGCTGCCACCGCCACACACAGGGGTGGGCGCCTCACCCCCTGGCGCAGCATCAGGCTCGGGGGGAGCCGACTGGGGGCAGCACGGCCTGGTGGAAAGGGAAACCCCACCCCGGGCCCCCCCGGGGCCAGGCGGAGCTGCCGGGCCCCCAGGCGGGCGGCGCGGGCCGGGGTG